ACTATTTATGGCACATACTTAACAAGTTTTTGGAAAAGATCGATGCTAGACTATACATCGAGTAGTATCAAAGATTGGTAAATATCATCAAATAATCTGAGACACTCGAGGAGTTCGAGAACCATTTGAATGAGGTAATTGGAAACTACACAACTAGGCTGCAATGAATAGCTCGGTAGCATGTATGAGATACGTTTTTGTTGGGTACATGCATATGTGAAACAGGTTTTCAGTGTAGGCATGTCTAGCAACCAAAGATTCGAGAGCTATCACTCATTCATGAAGAAAAATTCGTTGTAGGTTTCATTACTCATTTCAACAGGGCATTAGCTCATCAACGGCATGAAGAGTTAGTTGCTAACCACATCGATCTCATTGAACAATCAAGGCTGACATCGGTTGGCATGATGGAACACCGGATGGTCCAAATTTACACAAAAAAGATTTTCATGTCTTTTTAGAAGGAAGTTGAGTAGAGTAATTTTTACATTTGCTCGAAGAAGTCAGACTCGTCGATGCTAAAGTATATGCAGTGGAGCGATTTGAGCTGGGGAAAACTTTCGAACGTCAACGTGTACGTATCTATTTCACGAATTCGAATTTTATCACATACAGTTGTGGGATGTTTGAATTTGAAGGTTATCCATGTCGACATATGCTGAGCTATTTCAAGAAAAAACAAGTTTTACTTTTACTGGAGAAATATATTCTACGAAGATGGACGAACAATGCCAAGGTTGGGTCAATTGACGAACCTATGGGTGGTTCATCTGTTGACGATGATTATGGGTAGTCATTGATGGGATGTTTTCATACAATGTTTCTTTGCTCATCGAGATACTTCTTTAATGGATTCTTGCAACATCTATTTGTTGGGCAAATTTGATAAGTTGTATAGCAACCTAAAAGAGATCGATAACGAAAGCAATGTTGTCATGAACAAGACTGTAAGCAAAAGTTGCAAAGAAAGTCAAATTGTAGGTGACCCAAATGCCGTTAGAGCAAAATGGTGCGGAAAGCGACTGAAATCGTCGAAGGAAAAAGCTATTTCTAGAGGTAGTAGACTAGTAGATAATGTCGTTCCTTTGGTGGTCATGGCCATGACAAATGAGCATGCCTCAATTTACAAAATAGGTAATTATTTAATTTTTTTGCTTGTTACTAATATGTTATGTAACTCATCTAACATTATTTTCATTTTCTCATTTGGTGGATGAACCATATCATCCCAGTTTCGATCATAAGTCGGACGATTTTAGAGAAGATGGCACATACATGAGTATTGTCAGTAGCAATTATGACGTTGGAACAAGTTTTTTTATTCGTAGTATCATTTGTATTTTGTAATAATAATTTTTGAAAGACGATGTAATATTTGCGTTTTATGCTTGTTATTAACACTTGTAAACATTTTTGTTAAATTACGCAAAAATTGATAACAAAATAATGACACTGCAAAATCCTTAATACGTTCAATTTCACATATAAATATTACACAAGTTGGTAAAAGAATATTATAAATATTACATAGATCGATAAATATTAATTGTGAGATTTCGGGTGGTTGGAAAATGAAATTTATTGAAGTGATTGGTGTGTGGTGGGAAAAGCCAAACAACAACAAAAATGGAAGAAAGTGACAAAGCCGTAAGAAGTGAGCAAAAACTTTTTTTTTAAAGTTAAATGCGCTACTGACGTGGCACGCCACATTAGCAGAGGGTAGAGTGTTCTCCTACCCCTAGGGGCAGAAAAACATTCCCGATACTTTATTAGTAGTACACGTAACTGTAACTTCTCTCTTTTTAAGTAAGCATTTGTTTGATATAACTTATTTGAAATTTATTTTTTTTCAAATTTATTTTCAATCATATATTTTTTCTCAAATTTATTTTATCAATTTAGCCCATGTTTGACAATCATTATTTCAAAATTCTTTATTATACATACTCATTTTCAACCATACATTCACACAATAAAAATATTCTTCACACAAATTTAATTTTTTTTTCTACTTTTTAACTACATGTTCTCCACAAATTCACTATTCAAAACTTTATTTTTGCCAAATAATGACCATAAAACGAGCACTTAATCATGTGACATAAAATTGGGCTGTATGTACTGAAGTTATGGGTCAGTGGCCCTTCCGTTCCCATAGCATGGAAAGGATCTCTGTTGCTGGGCCTTTCAATATCTTCTTAATGGGATTTAGTATTGGGCCTTAAGAAATGATATTACTAATAAATTACATCTAGAGAAAATTATACGAAAACATGGATTTAACATTTAATTATCAAAAATCAGATTACTAAAAATTTTATTCAAAAACCAGGTACTAAATAAATTATTATTATTTATGGTGCCGGAGATGGTGGGGGATGTTGTGAAAACTAGTGGCTCCCAGTGGTTGGGTGTTCATCTTCGCTGCGCATGGTGCAATCCATTAATTCTCTCTTTTTTTAATTTTTTATGCAGTGGTTAGGTGCGATGGTGCTTAGTGGTGGTTGGGTTCGATTGAAGGTAGGTGTGGTGTGGGGTGTTATGGTGGCGACTGGTGGTATTTTGGCGATGGTGACTGGTGTTATATGTGATCGAGTATGTGTTTGATTGCGACCGATTGTGACGAATTTTATGTTGATTGTGATCGATTGTGACTTGAGATTGACCTAGTCACAGCAGTCACATTGAACACAAATTTGGTTACAGTTAGTCACATTGAATGCAAACTTGGTCACAATTAGTCACGAATGACATGTGTCAGCGAATGGGGGTGGTGGTAGGTGGATCCATGAGGTGGGGGTGTGATTTCCAATTTTTAATTTTCTGAAAATTTTTAAGTCATCGGAGCGGTAGCTGAAGTGATCACCGGAACCGGAGTGATCGCCGAAAAAGTCGCTGGAGCCAATGGCTATCTCCGGTGGAGGGAATGTGGTGTAGTGGGGTGTGACCTTCTCTGGTGGAGAGGTGGGGGGAAGGTGGTGTAGTGGAATGATAGGATGAGGTAGGTGATGTGGCATGAGTATAAATAATTAATGTATATTATATTATATTTTAATATTTAATAAATTTATTTACCACTTGATTTTTGAAATATTTTAATGAGTTTTTTATTTATGAAATGTGATCTTTAAAACTAGGAGTTATGTATTGTTCATTTACATCTATATAGATTAGATAGTCTTCAAGACTTCAACTATTTCATTTTTAAATGAGAAAATACATTTTAATAATTTTATTTTTTATTTTAAATCAACAAAAGGCATCACTTGGAAAAAAGAAATAAGCAATGCATCATAGTGCTACATTCACTTTACATTTTAATTATAGTGAATTAGATAGAACTCAAAAAATATTTAAAAATTAAACTTAAAGCCTGCCAACTTGGCCATCGTTTGGCATTCATTTTCAAATATTCATTTTTTTCAAACTTATTTTTAATTACTTATTTTATGGGATTCACAAATTTTCAATTACATATTTTATTAAATTTTATCAAAATTCACTAAAATTTTATTTCTAGTTAAATCAAATATGGCTTACAACCATCGTGAAAAACTCTTTTTCCTTTTAAAATTACTTAATCAAGCAAGTCAAAGTTTTCCCATTGATACAGAGAAGTGAACAGGTCAAAAATATAAAGAAAACAATTTATTTAAGCAAGTCAAAGTATAATGTACAAATTCTTTTTTGACAAAAAGTGGAAACAAAAGTCAACAAGTCCAAATTTGTGTGCTTTTGGTTCAGATGAACTTGGACCATAACCAAATGGTCCAAGTCCAAATATTTAATTAATAAAAAAAGAAATTTATTTAAATATTATTCTCCTGTTTGGACTCCATTTTTTAAAACATACATTTTTTTTTAAATTTTAAAATATACATTTGGTGGACCTAATTTGCAAACCGATTTATATATATATACATTTTTTTTTAAATTTTCAACTACACATTATTCAATAAAATAATATTATACGTATACTAAAAATTTCTCTTATTTTTAACCATATATATATATTTTAAAAAGAACATTATATAGACATGAATTTTCAAATGATTTGTTTTCCTTAACCCTATTATTAGGCCATGTTTGGCCCCATTAAATTCAAATTAATTTTTCCCTATTTTCTTATCAACAACACATTTTTCAATAAAATAATATCATAAGTAAACCTCAATTTTTTTCCTTATTTTTTAACTATATATTCTCCAAAAAATTACTATTTGTTTCATCATAATTTGGAATACTGGAGCTCAAACAGGGCTCCATTATTCTAACGTTTTTTAGCCTAAAAACTTTTTTAATCCTTTTTTGACCCCAGTTTTTTTAAAATATATTTTCTTTCAAGTACACATTATTCAATAAAATAATATTATACGCAAATCTAAATCTTTTTCTTATTTTTTAATTACACATTGTTCATCAATTTACTATTTCAAAATGCAGTTTACACCGAAAAATGTCAAAAATGCCCTTAATTCTCATTATTTCAAAATTTATTTTTTTAAAAATTCATTTTCAACCACAGATTCTCACAATAAAATATTTTTTACGTAAATTTAATAAATTTTGTTTTTGATGAAATAATGGCATCAAACTGTCCCGTACTGAACCACTCATTTATCGTGAGTGTGTGTTCTATTTTTGCATTTACATTTTCATTTGAGTTTCATTTCGTTTGGCACAAATATGCGTACATATATGATTTAAATAAATACTTATGCATAAATATGTATAATACATAATTCTTATTATTTCTAGGGAGAGAAACAAGAAATGTGAACGAGTCTCATAAATCAATAGAAAATGATGAAAAAAAAATCATAAAATCAGTTTTCTTCATCAATCTCTCAAATCCGGAACTCTCTGATTCATCGGATAATTTTCTTATATTTTTTAATATTTTTCTCAATTTCAAATCGTAAAATAATTCACAGATCTGAAAGCCAATAAGGAGGGGATTTTGATTTTCTTTTTGAATATTATTGAAAATAATTGTGAAAATGCCGGGACAAGGGGATTTGGAGAGGCAGATAGAGCAATTGATGGAGTGCAAGCCGCTGTCGGAAGCAGAGGTGAAGACTTTGTGCGATCAAGCGAGGGCGATTCTGGTGGAGGAATGGAATGTTCAGCCGGTGAAATGTCCGGTTACTGTGTGTGGAGATATTCATGGCCAGTTCTACGATCTGATCGAGCTTTTTCGGATAGGTGGCAACGCTCCTGACACCAATTACCTCTTCATGGGGGACTATGTCGGTTAGTTTCCCAGGATTTTTGAATATTTGTTGGGAAAAAAGATGATTTCTAATCCTTATCTGTTGGGATCTTTTATTTAGTTAATGATGAATTTGATATTTTACGGATTTATTGCTGTATCGTGATTTTATTTTGGCGGTGGTTTTATTGGAAACAAGAAGTAGAAGAAATGATCTATATAAAGATGTCTAAATTATTGCACGATGATGCCTACTTATGTTTTGTTGAGATCTGTTACTTGAATTTGAGTGAAAACACCAATACAAGGTGATTACATAGCTGAATATTTCTGTTTTACGTATTCTTTTTTTAGTTATTAGCTACTGGAATGTAGCCTGAAAATTGATGACTTCACGTTCTTCTGAAAATGAGGATTGAGTGAACTGCTGAATTGTCTAATGTGTTTTGAGGTAAGGTGTATCAAGGATGAAAGGGGAAGTTGATTCGTGATTGAGCAATAGTAGATAGAAACATGCAATTTGATGAATGAATACGATTTGTGTCTCATTTTTGCTTGCGTAATGTTTTGATGGGACTGCAGCCTATTTTATTATGATGCCGACAAAATAGATGTGAAAGATGTTCAATTGTGTCGGCATTACATATGAGGTCACCACCGCTGTTCGTGTATGTCGTCGAGAGAGTCGAGACAAATGTTGCTGCATGCTTCTACTACGCTCAGCTTTGCGAGAGGTTTTATTATTAGTCATTTATGGCCCATAGAAAATCCATTAACTTACTTTTCCAGGAAGCTAAGTTTTTTCCCAGTAAAGTTTAAGTCAGCTGCACGAGTCTTAGTATTTCACACACACACACACACATATATAATTCATACTTGCTCCTTAATGGTAAAGTTTATGAAGTTACAGGTGCAATTTGTATTTGTTGATTATTCCCTTACCATAGTTGGTAGCGTAACTTTCCATTCTACTACTTGTGTAATGCAGATCGTGGATACTACTCAGTAGAGACTGTCACGCTTTTGGTAGCTCTGAAAGTTCGTTACAGAGATAGAATCACTATTCTTAGAGGAAATCATGAAAGCCGGCAAATCACTCAAGTGTAAGATCCGGTCTGCTAATTGTAACAAAGTTATCCGAGTATATATTAATTATTAACTTGTGCTATAAATGTTGCGAGTCCATGTACTTTTATTGTTTCGTCCCATGTGGACATTTATAATCTATTAATATATAATATATGTTATTCACAGGTTTGTTAAAAAAGTTTGTGCTATAGATATGAAACTTTAATCTACACCTTAGTTTTTTGGGTAGTTGGACATTCTAGTATCAGTTTGTATATTTTAGATAGGTTTTATATTTCAAATCATGCATGTCCAAAAAAATAAAAATGAAGAAGAAGAAAAGATCGTAGTTACTTCCAAACTTTGCCGAATGATGTACTGGTTCTTTTTGATGTCTTTATACATCTGCATTTACAATACTAAATTAGACCTCGGAACGCAGCTTAGATTGTTGTTTGATGGTTAGATCTATTTAGAGCAATATCATTTGTTAATTTTCTTGCAATGATTTATTCAGTTTGTGTTTTTCAACAATAAATGTGCCATTGTCAAATTAGTCCTGAATTGTGGGAGGAGGACGCGAGGGTAAGCGCATTGTGTTGCCTGCCTAAATTGTCAACTTTTGTGCTTTTGCAGTGGGTTTTTATATTTTCTTTTTTTATAATGTGCAGCTTACCAAATCCATTGTACTGGGCATCTCGGCTCTTTTCTAGTATGATAGTTAATTGACCTCATTACTATTAGTTAATTGAATGGACAACTGATCTTTTGATAGCCAAAATTGTGTATGATGCTTGGAATGAGGGAAGAACATTTCAATGCCTAACAACTTAGGAAAACAACAATAAACTAAGTTTATTCCTGATAAATTTGGGTTTGGGTACATGAACCCTATTTTGCCACACCCTTCCATTCATTGGTAGATCAACTCTAGGTCCTACACCCTAAACCGAAAGACCGATTATATAAAATTATGGTCAACATTTAGTATCAACAGAACAACAAACAAAGACATTATCCTAATAATTGTTAATATTCAATAAGTTCACAGTTTCTGTTAATTAGTAAAATTTTATGCAATCAACACTAAAATTATCAGAATTGGATGTACATATATTCTAATTCCTATAGTTGGCTTTTTCCTTGCAGAAATGCTTCTTGTGAATTGTATTATATTCTTTCGGATATCGTCTAATAAGGTAATGTTCATTTACATTTTTTCATTCCAGGTATGGATTCTATGATGAATGCTTAAGGAAGTATGGCAATGCCAACGTGTGGAAGTATTTCACTGATCTTTTTGATTATCTGCCCCTCACAGCACTTATTGAAAGCCAGGTTTGAACAATAACTCTATTTACCAATAATTTTGAGTACTAACATGATTGTTTCTAATGCTTCGCACTGTTTTCTTGTAGGTATTCTGTTTGCATGGAGGACTTTCACCATCTCTTGATACCTTAGATAATATACGAGCTCTAGAACGTATACAAGAGGTAAGATTAACATTTCTTGACTTGAAATTTGTATTTGAAATGCTTCTTTTCTATTTCTTTTTTTATTGGGGTAGAGTGTTCAGTCGGTGATGCAAGTTCCATCATATAATGGTTGAAGTTACAGTCTTACTGAAGTTTTTCGAACTTTTGGCAAAATAGAAGCAAAATGTAGTCCTGTTTTATCTACTCTTCATGGCCTTCATCTTCGTTTGATTAACTAAGAGCATGTTTGGTTGTCCTTAAAAGTTACTTTCCTTGAAAGTAAATTACAACTTACTTCCATTATCAAAAGAAAATTCAACTTACCTTTAAAAAAACAAAGACTGGTTGTCCACTTTAGTTTTTTTTTTTTTTTTTTTTGTGCTTAGCATATTGTGATTTGATAATAGTGATGTCATTAAAATATTGGCTTTTGGATGAGTTTGCTTAGGTTTTTAAGAATCTGCTCTACTACTCTCTTCCTTTAAAGTAATTATAAGAGCCCAGTTGAGATACATCAATTGAACAATATTCGGATGCAACTTTTATTCCTAAATTAGTTCTCTTTAATGAACTTAGTAATCATGGTTTGCTAGGTCCCACATGAAGGACCTATGTGTGATCTCTTGTGGTCTGATCCTGATGATCGATGTGGGTGGGGCATATCACCCCGTGGTGCTGGCTACACCTTTGGACAGGATATAGCTGCTCAGTTCAACCATATAAATGGCCTCACTCTGATTTCAAGAGCCCACCAACTTGTCATGGATGGTTTCAACTGGTGTCAGGTTTGTGTATTAAAATAAAATATAATATCCCATCATATCCCACGTTCTTGTCCATATTATGTTTTATATTTTTCTATTTTCTTCTGAATTTTCAGGAGAAGAATGTAGTAACGGTTTTTAGTGCTCCAAACTATTGTTACCGGTGTGGAAACATGGCTGCAATCCTCGAAATTGGAGAGAGCATGGAGCAGAATTTCCTTCAGTTTGACCCTGCTCCTCGACAAATCGAGCCTGATGCAACTCGCAAAACTCCAGATTACTTTTTGTGAACTCAATGCCTCCATCAGCTGTTTGTAGTTCCTGCTTGCAGTTATGTTACTGTAGATGTGTCTTAAGAGATGAATTTTGTTATTTGAGGATTATTTTCTACATTCTTTTGTTTCGAGTTTGCTCTTCTGCTGCTTCTGACTTCGATTATGTGCTCAACATATTTTCCAGAGATGTGATGAAGGCACGAGTCTTTTGGCTTGTATATTTTTTCCCAAAAGGAGGAAGCAGCAATGACTTGGTATAATTGTATTCTGTAATTTACAATTTATTGTAGGAAAACAGATTTGAGCACCATCCAGCTGATTTTCCATTTATAACTCGAGTTGACGAAAGTACTGGTAAGTAATAGGATTTCACTTTTGTCTCTCTCTAAAATTGCAGTCATGGTCGAATAAATATTTTGGACCCGACACTGGGATGAAGGTTGTGCAAATTTGAAGATTTTTCGTAGGGGGAAGAGATTAGTTATGCAGGCAAGCAACATGTATGAATTTGAATTTTTTCTTCCCACTGATTTTCTTGAAAATGTTTAGAACAGATTTTTCATGGATATTGGACTTGGGTTTTCACTTGTCTACCCACCTTGAATTTTTTAAGTTTCAAAATTTTCAAGTAAATTCCATGAAAGTACTAACACAAGTCTTCTGTGAACTGCTGACCGTGTTTTTGCTTGACAGACAATTAAGCCATGTTTGATTTAGCAATTTTTCCATGGAACTCGGAAATAAAATATCATATCCCACCAAAAGTCATGTTTGATTGAGAAAAATTTCTTGGCAATTCATTTTCCATCTTCTGTCTCGCTGTTCCAATTTCATGGTTTTGAGGAAAATCAATTCCCACCAATCTGGTGGGATTTTGTTTTCCAAGCTACTTTTGCCAATGCGCGCTCGCGCAATGGAAACAAATTCTGTTTTCAATTGTAATAAATTCTCTCTTTAATGGGCATTTTTTATGTAAAGCAAAGCCAAATGATTATTAAAAGATCTGAAATTTCAATATTTTTCACGTGAAAAATTATACTAATCAAATACAATTAATTGACAATTCACAGAAAAATAATTTTAAGTAACTCAATTCCCTGAAATTCATTTTCTTTCTATCCAAATTCCACTCTTTCAATCAAGCGGATCCTTATTGAATTTTTCTTGGTTGTTTCTAACCTATGGCCACCAAATGAAAGTTCATTTGCAAATGTGATAGTTTAATCTTACTTTTTTGGCCGGGAAACTATGGAGATATGGCTATCGTGGTACTCAAAAATAAACATCGAGACTGTGGGCATTTTAGTGGATTACGAATAGTACATTTGTACATTTGTCCAGTATTCCAGAAGGCACGTCCAAAATACGATGTTCGTCGAAAATACCAAGCCCAGTGGCTTAATACCTTATTTAGTAGTCAACAATTGTCATTGACTGTTAATACACGCTTATTATTATTATTATTTTTTGTGAAAAAAAATTAACAAAAATTACGATTCTTTTAAATTCAGAGCTTGTTTGGGAAAGATTTTTTAGGAAAGAATTGATTTTGAATAGTGATATGATGAGAAATGTGTAGTTGAAAAAAAAGAAAAAATTATTGATGTGATGGAAAATATTATTTTATTAAAAAATGTGTGGTTGAAAATTAGAATTGATTTACTATAGAAAAATCTAATCCCTCCCAAACAGGGAGCCTCAAACTTTAAGGTTGATTTACATTTGAAGATTATTTTTGTTAAAAACTTTTGAAAAAATATATAAAATTTCTATAAATTTGTTTTAAATGCTTGGTAAGTTTTATTTTTAATTATTAAATAATTTTTTGATTGATTAAAAATTAAAATAATATTGGAAAAAAAAACTCATTTTTATAATTATGCCTCTCCTAAGCTTGCATAGCTTATAACTTCATCTCCAAGCGTCGTCACACATTACTCTTTTTAGAACACTTCCAATGTCCCTTGAAAACTTGTTCGGGGTGAACTTTAAAACGTTATAGAAAGTATAACAAATTACTATTTGGGTAATCAACAGAACATAAGAGGACTAAAACTATCGCATGGACCGACTAATAGGTACCAGCAGCATGTGTACCTGAATGAAAATAAGAACGTGTTTCTATATATGATTAACTAATAAAAAAACACTTGAAGAATATTAGTTATGAGAGCATTTGAGAAGATGCCAATCCCACTTTCCCATCTCTAGTGAAAATGGAAGACAAAACACTTGCACATTATGTATAAATACAAATTACAAAAGTTTAAGTTAATGTTTTGAAAGAGAATACAAACATGAGTTTCCATTGACAAAGATAAAAGATATAACATCAACAAAATAAACTTCGAATACAAGGGTAATTACAGTTACTACCATTGAATGTCCAAGGCGGCATTGCCCAAGTGCTAATGATTTACTTTGAAGAAAACTTTGCAACAAGAGGTAGAACTGTTGGGTTAAAACTCGCAGCATAAGATGACATCATTTGTTGGAACTAGAAGTATGGGTAAGACTACCCTTGCTAAGAGTATTTATAGGAGTGAAAGATATAGGTTTGATTGTTCAGCATAATTTTTCAGAGGTTGTCCTTCAAGTTTACCTTCCAATTCTCCCACTCAGGCTCACTACATTTGCTATTTCAAGAAAAGGCCTTCTACTCGTGGCTCGCAAGAGATAGACTACTAATGCAAAACAATCAAATCTACTTGTTACATTCCTGTAAATTCTCCCAGCAAGAGTAGCCATACCCACCCTTACTGTCCCAACAATTGATATCATTCTACACTCTAAGAATTC